CCACTGCCTAAGCATCTGTGCCTAAGGCTAGGCATGAGCACCATCAAGGCAGTGCCAGCCTCTGAACAAAGCAGCAGGGGACACAGTCCCCCCCCCACCTTTGGGGCACACAGTCACCCCCCACCTTTGGGGCACACAGCTGGCCCAGGAACTCCAGGATCTTCCTAGAAGATGACCCAGCAGGCATCATCAGGGAGAGGCATAAAAACCGCCAGGCTGCTCGGCCATGCTGTACCCGGTAGCCAGGCACCTGTACCTCCGTGTGTGTTGCTCAGAGAGACTAGGGTGATTGTGTTGTGAGCACCATCCTCCTCAGCAAGGTCACAAAGTTTTGTTTTGTTTTTTTGCTTGTTTTGAACAGTTGTGGCAAAAAAACAAAAAACAAAACAAACAAACAAAAAAAACCCCACCAAACCTGAAGGCCTGCTAACTGAGATGTGGCAATGGGAATGGGGCAAACTCGCCTGTCCATGCCCCAGTGTGCCTCAGACTGTGGAGGGACTGTGTGACAACCAGCCAGGCCCTACCAGGCTGAGGGGCTTGGATGAGACACTGCCCACCTTTCAGGCATCTTCAGGATAACAGTGGTTTTCATTGTGGAGCTAGGCCCTCGGCCAAATGAATTATTGCATGTAATCCTTATTCTGGGACAGGTTCCTACTATTATCCCCAATTTGCAGCTGAGGAAATAGGCTCAGAGAGGTTAATTTGCTTACTTGGCTCACACAGCCAGGAAGGCTAGGGCCAGGGTTGGAACTGAAGCTCGTGGCCCTGGTTTCCTCTCTGGTGCTCCTGCCCTTGGCCTCCTTGTGACTGACCCCTTTAGAGACTGCACCATCTGGCGCTGAAGGTCAGACTGGCTCCCTTCTGCTCAGAGCCACCTGAGGACCAAGCGGGTGGCAGCAAGGCTGCACGGGGACTGGATGCTGATGTGGCTTCTGGGAGCATCCACCTTTAAGGGGTTTGTTTGTCGACATCCTCCTGCTGGTCCTGGGGGAACAGAGAAAGAGGAGTTTAGGGACAGGAGGCCCTCAAACCATACAATAAGTCTCAGGGTGTCCCTGGGCCTCAGAGATCTGTTTCTGTGCCCTTTACTCCACACCCAGCATCCTGTTGTCTAAAGGAATTTGTTCATATGAGAAAATTCATATGGAATTTAGCACATATGAGAAAAACCCAGGCTTCAAACATGCATGCACATATGCATACACAGATCCCAGTCAAGCCTAGAAATCTCATTCCAGTGCCCAGAGAAACACAGTGAGGAACCAGCACCTAGGCCTGTAGGTGACGGAAGCACGCCAAGGACACCTGCTCCTGGGTTGTTACAGGTTTCAAAGGGGCCATGCAGTGAATGCCTGGGTCCTGTCAGTTTGTGGCTTAGTTCCAAGCTGAGGGCCCAGTGCCTGTGCTCTGGTTAGAGGCAGTGATCAGGTCAGTGAGCAAGAAGGTGCCCGCATGACCTGAATCAGATGCCCGAGATGCTGAACAAAGCCCTCCCATCATTTTGATAGCCAACTGGGTGAGCATTAAGGTCAGAGGCAAGTGTGGGAACCTGGACCCCGTCATACCCTGTGCACCTGGTGCATATACCGCTCTTGTTCTCTAACAAGAATGAGCCTGCAGTTTGCGCTGGCCCACCTGTCTCCTCACTGCTTCACCAAGCCGTCCTCTGCGACAAGGGATCTGGTGTGCGCTGAGACAACAGCTTGTCCATATCAGGGGTCACGACTCAGATGGGACAAATCCAGGTGTACAGGTGGGGGTGACTGCTGGGAGCTCGTGTCACACGTCTGCCTGATACGAATGCTACCACCATGCTTGGCTCACACTCCCAGGTGCCACTGCCACCTCTCCCAGTCTCTGTTGGATGTCACCTTCAGCCTGCAGTGCTTTTCCAGACAGGAAGCACTGCAGGTCACCTCTTCTCCTTTTGGTAGCCCTTAGGGATCTGAAAGATGAAGGACCACTGATACCTAGTCCTGGTTTCTGATGAAACAGCCCAGACAAAGTCCCCACTGCCCCCAGAGACTGCAGAAGGTTGAGTCAGTGCCCTGTAGCCATGGATTTCACTGCCAATCAGTAAAATGAGCCCTCCCTTTCCCCCTGCTCCAGGAATTCCAACCCAGAGCCCATTGGTTGCAGGGAACCCTGTACTAACGCCACAGTGTACACTGTAGAGCATATACCTCCTGGAATTTTTGAAGGAAAGGAAGGAAGGAAGGAAGGAAGGAAAAAATAAACATTTTTAGTACTTTCTTCTTGTAACCAATTAGTCATCCTGAGGTATAATAAGTGTCTCACCTTGACGACTTCCATCTTGGCTCCACCGGGAAGCCACAGATGAGCCCATTCTCCCTCCTCATCTCTATGTAACACCGGCCAGGGGTAGCTGATGGATAGAGCCCCCCCCCGCCCCCACACTTCCCCGCTATATGCTTTACCAAGGGCCAGAGACGGCACTTCCTGCAGTCTTCTCCAGTGTTGTTCTACCAGTGCTCATTTACGGTCTGGAATTTTTCCACATCATCCGTTGACAAAAAGGTACCTTTGGAGGTGGCTAGTGCTGTCCTTTGGATGTGTGTGTGACCCCAAATTCTCACAGAGGGATGGACCCTCTGGTGACTAGAGCCCAGGGATAGGGCCCTCCTGAGGGAAATGAGAAATCTTCTTAAGAAATCCAAGACATTCCTCGCTGTTCACAATGTGAAGACACAGTAGGAGATGTCACGGTTCACTACCCAGGAAACAGCCCTGGCCAGACACAGCATCTATGGCCTCCAGACCTTGGCTGCCAGCCTCACATTCTATGAGCAATCGGCTTCTATTGGTCATAAGCCTCCCAGGTCGGCAATGAAAGAAAGACCAGGACGCTTGGTAGACAGTAGACGAGGGCCTGCCCTCTGCCCCATTGCCTAACTGGGAAGATAGAAAACCCACAGAATGTGCAATGCATGGCTGCCACATCTGGGGCTCTCAGGCTCACCCACTTATACAGCGGTGAGAAAATAAGCTCACTATTGGTTCCTGTCACCAAACCAGAAGATTGCAGAGGGTTTGGGCATCCAGAATCTGTTCTTGTTTAGGGGTTGTGACTCTACCTGAGACAAGGCATGGGCTCAGCCTGGAGCATGTGTCAGGCCCAGACACAGGAGTCTGTTTCAGCTCCACCCCTGCTCATGGGACCGGGCTCAGCTTGTAATGGTTGGTAGTTCACCTGTGTCCAGTGTACCAGGGCATGAGTGAGCAGAGTCAGGGCTCGGTGTGTGACCTGGATGAGGGCTGAATATGACTAGGCTCGAGGTCAATGTGTGACCAAGACCAGGACTCAGCATGTAAGCAGAGGCAGGGCTCAGTGTGTGACCAGGGCCAGCCCGAGCTTAGGACATGAGCAGTTCGTATTTGAAAGGCCCCGTTACTGTTTGCCCAGGATCAGGGCCCAGGTTCTTAGGAGGGTCAGCTTTCAGGCTATGTGAGGATCCTGAGTAAGGTCTGGAGCAAGGTCAGAGGTCCCTGTGTGCTTGATGTCAGGGCTGCCTGTGTCTGCGCCATAGACTTAGGCTGTCACTTTCCCACTTCCCAGTGTAACCTCTAGAGCAGCCCACACACCTTGCGGCTGGTGCAGGGTGGCCCAGCCCTAGGCACTTTGTTCTGTGGAAATCTCCTTTGGCTCTTGTCCTAATTGTGTTTAAAATCATGTCCTGGCTGAGGGATCTCATCAGGGAGCCATGCTCAGAGCCAGGGTGCTGGGAGAAAATTAGGACCGGTGGCTGGACAATTCCCACAAGCCAATCAAAGCGCCCCACACCAGGATTTGCATAAATCTCTAAGCCGATTAGAGAAGCTTTTCAGCAAGCTGCCAGGTACAGCCAGCAAGCTAGGCCCTCCCTCTCCCTGGATTAATTGTTCCCATCCCAGCTCATGCCAAGGCCCAATTCATTATCCTCTCCACCCTCCAAACCCACATCTCAGGCGCACTGTGGACACCAACTTCAAACCTGCCTGCACCCTTCACATAGCCTGGGGTCAGCGTCACCTGTCCTGCGCCATTTCCACCTCCTGTCCACCCCCAGTGCCCCTCTTACTGAAGAGCTCCACTTCCAGCCTCTTTTCTGCCATGACATCTTTCATGATGTTCCCAATACAGGTCCCTACCTTGTGTCCCCTGCACCTGCCAGCCTGACTCTGCTATCAGTCCAGACCACTTGCAAGGCTTAGATCATGCACCACAATGACCCTAGATGGTGCAGCCAGCCGAGGGCTTCCTGGATCCCCGATTCTTCTTTCAAGCTTTCCTGATGCCTGTGTTACCTCCACACCCATGAAGTATGCACTGAGGCCAGTGGAAAAAGAGCTGAGCCACGGTTTGTAGCTAGACACATGTCTGTTCTCCGTCTCCTGGAGGATGCTGTCTTAAGGCATCCCGCCGGCTGTAGATTCGCCAGCCCCTCAGCATTTTCCCTGCGAGAGGAGTCACCTCATATCCTCCTGAACTAACTCCAATTCTGCCCTCCACGCACCCACACTGGCTACCTGCTCTTGTCTCAGGGTTTTGGAAAAACACATAGCATAGCAAGGAGAGGGTTTAGGTCATAACTGTCAACTGCCACACTACCCTGGAAGATGGCCTTGTGAGACATCAAGTGTCAGTACCCTCACCTCTGTCCTCTTTCCCCCCTCCATTCTGTTCCTTCTGAGAATACCCCAGTGAAAAAGTATAGCCCCTTGATCCATCCCAGGAGTTACACGGTAGCAATAAGTAAGACAGAAGACAGAAATTTCAACCTTGTTCTTTATCATGACACAGACGAACTTTGACATTGGTCCATCCAGCATCTCACTGAAGAAGGTAGGGTAGTGTTTGGTTTTACCACTGAGCTTGCTCCCAGATGAAGGATGGAATCATGGGAGAAATCTGAGAGCTTCAAATGAAGCCACGTGGGCTGGGGGGTATGCAACTCAGCAGGGGACCACTTTCCTAGCATGAGCGAGGTCCAGGATCTGAGCAAACAAAGGAGAAAGTGTGTGATTCAGTCTGCAAATAGAAGTGTGTGCTCCTGAGAAGTCATATGGTCAAGGGTAGGAGCCCATGTCCACCCTGCTGCCCCAGGCTCAGCCAACATGGCCAGTGCATACGTGGGAACTGGGTATGCAACACAATAGTCTCAGGGATGTAGGAGAGCCAGTTCCACCTTCTGCTGTCATAGGATCAGATCAGTTGCCTGGCATCTCTGTGTCTCAGTTTTCTCCTCTGTAAGAAGGAAAGGAGAGCAGGGCTTAGAGACAACTTTTGTCCTCACTGTCCACAGTGAGGGCTTGCCTGTGATCACTGGTTATTCCCACACCAGGGAGGGAAGGGCTAACATCTGTAAGGCTCATGAGGGTCAAAGGTTGTCTGAAGCAGAAGACAGCAGAAGGGGCTCTGATTGCCCCAGGACCTACAGACCTTTCCCAGGGTGGAGCAGAATCGTCTCTTTGCATACCTGCAACTTCAGGCCTGTAGAGCCACGTCGTACTTCCATGGGCTTCCTTTATCAGAGCTTGCTGGCCTGTGCAATTTACAAACTAAAAGAGAGACTAACTACATGAGCCACAGGCTAAGGGGGGGGGGGGGTGCCATGAGGGCTGGAAACCACCCAGACGGGAACACAAGGGGGTTAAAGCTAAATCACAAGACAAGGTAAGTGCTTGGATTTGGAGTCATTGGAGGAGAAAAAAATCTGAAAGTAGAGACACCACCAGGTAAAGTGTTCACCTTGATGGTTATCTGTCAAGAAAAGAATTTAACCAGAGTCACAAACAGTTTAAGCAGAAGTTTCAGTGAAACAAATGTATACTCCAGAGAGACTGGTGAGCCAATCTAAAGGGAGGAACTGTGTGTCTCCCTAGGAAAGAAACTGTTTCCTAGTTAAAGGTTTGAGGAAGCTGGTCTGATGGGCTAAGTATCTAGCGCCAAGTATTGAGCAAGACAGGGTATTGGAACTATCAGCATCATCATCTCCAACACCATCATCAACACCGTCACCATCAGCAGCACCGTCACCATCATCACAAACACTACCAACAACATCATAACCACTGTCTCCAGCTAAGGGAGCAGGCTGAGGTCCTCAGCAGATGGCACCATGTGACAGCAGACCCTGCACCAGCTTCCTTGTCTGCATGCTAATTGAGTGTTAGTGCTTTCCTCTGGCTTATACCATTGCAATCTCAGATTTCTGCCACATTCGGTCCCTGCTCCAAAATCCGCAGGGTCTTATCAAGTTCCTGAATATTCAACTTAGGATCCAGGACCACCAGGGTGCCAGGTTGGACCAGGGGGCCTGTGGAACTATGAGTTCCTTTGTATTGTGGGATCCCTGAAGCTATTCTGACTTTCCATCCCCAGTCAAGGTCTGCTTGCACTGCCTGGCACTTGAGCCCCCATGTCGCCCTCCTTTGCCATCAGGAATCTAGGGCAGGTCCTAAGCCAGCTCTTGGGCTCCCAGTTTCTTCCCCCGACCTTTCCTCTCCAAGGCAGCACTAGCTTCCCATGGCTGCTGGCACAAATAAGCATGAAGTGATGGCTAAAACCTCAGGATGTATGCTCACACTTTTGGAGCCAGAAGCAGGACTCCAGGTGTTCGCCCAGCCTTGCTCCCTCTGCAGAAGGTGGAGGGCATAGCCATGTCTCCTGCTCATGCTACTGGCATGCCTTGGGCTGTGGCTGCATCTCTCTACTCTACTCCTCCATCAACCTCTCCACCTCCTCCACCTGCCTTGCTCAGCCTCTGCTCTCCATCTCTTTCTTATCTCTCTCCTCAACAGATCTCTCCATGTGGTTCTCCTCTGTGCCTCTTCTCTAAGCTACTCCCCTCCATGTCTCCCCTCCCTTTCCTCCTCTGACCCCCCCTTCCATGCCTCTGCTCTGCTTCTGTCTCCTTGGCCTCCCCTCTGTATGCCTGCTCCCCATATCTCTCTGGACACTGCCTGCCTCCTCCCTCTCTTGAGGACTCTGTAATGGTATCTAGGGTCCACACACATACCCAGGGCAATCCTTATGAGAACATAGTTTACTAAATCACAACTTTGGCCAAATAATTTCATTGTCTCTCTTCTCAACAAATACAGAAAACAAACAAAGAAAACCAGCCTCTGCCTGGAAGGAACCTAGCAGAGGAAAGGAGAGAAGCTGAGCATTGGGTAAGTGCTAGGGGCCAGATGTCCTGCCCCGGCTTTGGAGTCTTAGAGTGCCCTCAAGGCTCAGTGTCCTCCCTGGTCCAACTCACCTTGACTCAAACATCTGTGCCCCGAGGTCCCACAGCTGCTCCTCTGCAGCCTCCCTCCAGCCCAGCTCCTCCTCTAGACCCCTGCCTTGCCTTCCTGCCTCTCTTCTCTTGCTCACTCCAGGGAGCAAGAACCAAGAACTACCTGCTACAATGCATCTCTCCTGGACTTCCCTGGGTGCTGGCCTTGCCTCCTTGGCCCATAGAGCAGACTCTCTGACACGCTTGCTTTTGTCTGTTCCAATAGGTCAGTCCCGATGACAGGAATAACATCAAGGATTGTACCCCTGTAGCTCAGGGCCAGACGAGGACCAGGCATGATGCTTCTCACAGGGTTAGTGAGTGAACAAGCATATGAGTTACTGAAGGAAGCGCAATGTTTGGCCGTGGCTTCCTAACAGACTAGTTACAAAGGAGTCTCTGGGGTGCCAACTGCAAGTGAGTCCTGTGCCCTGGGCAGATGTTGTCGGCCTGTAAAGTAAGGACCAGGGCTAGGCAGGATATGGATAAGGAAGTCCTGCATGGCTAAGAGGATGGGGGCACAACTGGGCCCAGAATGATCTTTCAGAAACTCTAAGTCTAGTGCAGGGATGGAGTTGGACTTCTGTTGCTGGAGCTACTTGAGCCACTCGGGATGCACCAGGGCTATCCCACACACTCTGCGCCCCATGCTCCGAGCTGCCCAGGAACAAAACACGAGTTCTTTCCTCACCTGGCCCGTGTGCATCCTCTCAAATTCCAATACCCTGTCCCTCCCAGATGGCATTTGCTGCCTTCTATCCCTGCCCTTAAAGCCTCCCATGTTCCCACACAAACAAGGAGGGTACACACTTCAGAAGAGCTGCCCCAGCTGCTGTAGGTCAGGGGTGCTGGTTTGCCAGGCTCCTGGGAGGTAGCTAAGGCTCTCGCTTCTTCCCCCTTTGCTGTAGGTCTTTGGCACGGAGGGTGTCTCCAATTGCCAAGGCATAAATGGCAACTGGCTGAGGCTCCCAGCCCCCAGGTCCAGCTTTGCCAGCTCTCTGGACAGCTGACAGCTCCCTCTCACTGTGCAGGCATACGCACACTTGCTTGCTCGCAACTCACTCAGTTGCACAGCTCACATCCTGCCAACCGGGGACTTCAGGATCCCAAGCATGCCCTGAAGCCCTACTGCATCTTACTTCTTGCTTGGCATCGCCGGCACACACCCTAAGTCTGACCTCCTTTACCCCTACTCCCTCTGGCCTCTAACCATAGAGGAGGACCCTGGTGAAAGCTTGACCAGTAGTTTGCTCAGAGCATGTGTAAGCATCCTCTCTCTGCATCGCTTCCTTTTCAACCAACCTCGCAGCCTCTTCTGGTTGATGTGCAGCTTGTTGACGCCATGGTCCTTTTCCCTATGCAGGGGCTCACTCTAGGTAGCAAGAATTTCCTGAGATTCTGATAGCATCCATACCAGGTGGTCACGCACACTCAAGATGACCCTCACCTCCCATTCCGACACATACACTCAGGTAGAAGGGGCCCCTTCTCAGTCTCTTCTCTGAAGCAGCCAACTTGGCTGTGTTAGCACAGTCCCACAGGCGGCAGCTTAAGACAGACTTCCTTCTCCTGGCTGGTTGGGTGTCGAGTGGACTGCAGGCTGCATCTCTTCTGAAGCTCCCGGCAGAGCCTGCTCCCTGTGTTCTTGAGAGATCGTCCTCTTACCTGAATGGGTTATGTGAAGAGTGTTACCAAGGAGATCTTCTTAAGGACGCTCATCTATCAGATCAGCCCCTGCCCCAGAACCTCATTTAACCTCTTTGCTTCCTTAGAGGCCCCTTCTCAGAACACAGCCACTTCAACATTCGAACTGTGGAGTCACAAAAATTCAGCCCATAACTCCCTCTGGCCCTATTCATATAATGGATTAGCAACCTATGACTAGAGGAATGAATTAGCCTTCCCTAGGTTTTGAATGAACTTGGGGTTCAGCCCGAGTCCCCCCAACTTCCCCTGCCCTCACCCTTATGCTGTCCCAACTCCAGAGCTAATGTAATATCAACACTGCTTCTGCCTGAGCCATTTAGAAAATGCTTACCTCAAAGACCTGAGGCCAGTCATGCTAGCCCACTCCACCCCTGGAGTAGGTACTTACTCACAGCACCCAGCATGCTCTCTGCAGTGTGCTTGGAGACACTTGAAGAGGGCTGATAGCACAGGGGATTCTGAACCCACAAATCCAGTCCAGGCTAACGGTTCCTCCTCTGCACTGGTAGCCCATCCCTGGACATGCAAAACCAAGAGGCACCAGCCTGAAAGAGCACTGGGTACGGCTGGGTTCTGGGCAGTGATAAAGCCCTTGACCTGTTCTAGCACTCCTGGTCAAAAGAATCTCACAATCATTCCCTCCTTGCCTCTCTGTTCACCCTTTCATCCCAAGGGCTAAAGCCACGGCCCAGAAAGGTCATTGGTCCTTGCGGCACCAGGACATGTGGCATCCTGACCATGCAGAGGTCCAGCAAGCTTCCTTCTATGAGGGTATAGCCAGACCACTCTATGTCTCCCAAGTACACATGCTGAGGCCTATGTACACAGCTCCCAATAGTGCCCCAATGACCAGATTAGGGGCACCTCCTAATACGGCCGAGTTCTGCCTCCCTCTGCTTGACTGTTGCCAGTCCCAGGTTGGGGTCTCAGACTGGAGTTCCATGCCTTTGGGGTCAGTTACTTAAATAAACTAACTCACCATCACCTTGACCTCGGATTCTCTTCAGAAACGTATCTGCCAGAGACAGACTACAGGATAGCCCTTGCTAGGTTCTGCCTTGAGACATTCACTCTCAACTGTGGCTGCTCCATGGCCTGTCACTAACCCAGAACTGGAGACAGGGGATGCAACACAGGCTTCCTTGTATTGGTACTCTTTTTGCTGGCTTTGATGTGTAAGGTCCTTGGGTTAAGCTTAGGCAGGAGGCTGGCTGCAGGAGAGACTGATCAATGGGTTCCTAAAGATGACGCATAATGAGCAGCAGGTGGGCCAGCTCGAGGTCTGCAATAAAGGCAATGGTGCTGGGTGACTGGTGGTCAAGATCATACAGCTAGTGACAGTGGCCAACTCCATATGAGCCAGCTCAAGGCCCCCAAAACAAGACACAGGAACAATGGATGGTAGTATTCCATGCTCACTAGACCAGATTAAAGAAACTTCAAGACTTTCTCTCAAGGGGAACATGCACCTCTTGCCCTTTCCCCTAGTTCACAGGAGGGGAGCAGAGAAAAAATGTAGAGCTCAATAAAAATCAATAAAAAAAGAAAAAATATATGCACACACACACAAAACTTCAATGTACTTGAACCCCTATGCACATTCTAATTATAACAAGTTGAATTCTAGGTAAAATGGGCTTCTGAGACCTCGCCTCCAAACTCACCAATCCTCCTGAACCTTGGTGGAACTCTGAAATACGGCTTGCTCCAATACTGAGGGGATTTAAGAGCTAGCTACAGTACTGAGGAGACTAAGAGCTTGCTCCAATACTGAGGGGATCAAGAGCTTGCTACAGCACTGAGAGAGGACCAAGGGAGAGAACCAGGAGAAAAGACCAAGAGAGCAGTCTTATGAAGAACTCAGAGGCTTCCTGAGACACAGACATTGACAGTACAGAGCAGACCATGATAAATTCCCAAACACTCAGCCAGCCACTGCAAGAATTAGACCAAGGCACAAAGACATTGCCAGCTTCATTTGAAGGAAGAGATGGGTAGGCACCAATGTAAGAATTCATCCAACAACCTAAAAAGCAACATTAATGTCTCTTAATATCAATTTGACTCAATTCACCTATAAAAAGACACAGGCTAAGAGAATGGATACGAAAAAAGGATTTAGCCTTCTGCTATTTACAAGAAACACACCTCAACCTCAAAGACAGACACTACCTTAGAGTAAAGGGTTGGGAAAAGGTATTCCAATCAAATGGACCTAAGAAACAAGTGGGTGTGGCTATCCTAAAATCTAACAAAATAGATTTCAAACTAAAATCAATCAGAAGAGATAGAGAAGGACACTTTATACTCACAACAGGAACAATCCATCAAGATATAGTCTCAATCCTGAATATCTATGCCCCTAATACAAGAGCACCTACATGTGTAAAAGAAACTTTACTAAAACTTAAATCGCACACCAAACCCTAAAAACTCATAGTAGGAGACTTCAACACTCCACTCTCGCCAATGGACAGGTCAACCAGAGAGAAAGTTAACAGAGAAATAAGAAAACTAATAGATGTCATGAATCAAATGGGCTTAACAAACATCTATAGAACATTCCACCCAAATACAAAAGAATATACCTTCTTCTCAGCACCTCATGGAACCTTCCCTAAAATTGATCACATACTTGATAACAAAGCGAACCTCCACAGATACTAAAAATTGGAGTAACTCTCTGTGTCTTATCAGATCACCATGGATTAAAGTTAGAATTTAACAACAATACTACTCTCAGAAAACCTACAAACTCATGGAAATTGAACAGTGAACTACTGAACCACCCCTGGGTCAAGGAAGAAATAAAGAAAGAAATTCAAGACTTCCTAGAATTCAATGAAAATGAAGGCACAAAGTATCCAAACCTATGGGACACTGAAAGCAGTGCTAAGAGGAAAGTTCATAGCACTAAGTACCCATGGAGAAAATGGAGAAAGCTCACATTAGTGACTTAACAGCACACCTGAAAGATCTAGAACAAAAAGAAGCAGACTCACTCAGGAGGAGAAGACTGGAAATAATCAAACTGAGGGCTGAAATCAACAAAATAGGAACAAAGAAAACAATACAAAGAATCAATGAAACAAAGCTGATTCTTTGAGAAAATCAACAAGATAGACAAACCTTTATCCAAACTAATCAAAAGGCAGAGAGAGAACATCCAAATTAACAAAATCAGAAATGATAGGGGGGCATAACAACAGACACTGAGGAAATTCAGAGAATCATTAGGTCATACTACAAAAACCTGTACTCTACAGGAAAACATAAAGGAAGTGGACAAATTTCTAGATAGATACCATATACCAAAATTAAATCAAGACCAGGGGAGCAATTTAAATAAACCTATATATTTCAAGGAAATAGAAGCTGTCTTCAAAAACTTCCCAACTAGGAAAAAAAAAAAAAGCCCAGGGCCGGATGGTTTCAGTGAAAAATTCTACAAGAACTTCCAAGAAGAGCTAATACCTATACTCCTCAAAGTGTTCCACATTGCCAAACTCTTTTTATGAGGCTACAGTTACCCTGATACCAAAACCACACAAAGACCCAACCAAGAAAGAGAATTACAGACCAATCTCACTCATGAACATGGATGCAAAAATACTCAATAAAATACTGGCAAAACAAATCCAAGAACACATAAAAAAAATCCACCATGAGCAAGTCGATTTTATCCCAGAAACGCAGGGCTGGTTCAACATACAAAAATCTATCAATGTAATCCATCACATAAATAAACTGAAAGAAAAAACAACCCATATGATCATTTCATTGGAAGCTGAAAAAGCATTTGACAAAATCCAAAACCTCTTCAAGATAAGGGTCTTGGAGATATCAGGGATACAAGGAATTTACCTAAATATAATAAAAGCAATATACAGCAAGCTGACAGCCAACATAAAATTAAATGGAGAGAAACTCAAACGATTCCACTAAAATCAGGAACAAGACAAGGCTGTCTACTCTCTCCATATCTCTTCAACATAGTTCTTGAAGTTTTGGCTATAGCAAAAAGACAACAAGAAGAGATTAAGAGGATTCAAATTGGAAAGAAGTCAAACTTTTGTTATTTGCAGATGATATGATAGTGTACATAAGTGACCAAAAAAAACTCTACCAGAGAACTCCTACAGCTGATAAATACCTTCAGAGATGTGGCAGGATACAAGATCAACTCAAAAAAAAATGAATAACCCTCCTATATACAAATGATAAAGAAGCAGAGAGGGAAATCAGAAACATCAGCCTTCACAATAGCCACAAATAACATGAAATAGCTTGGGGTAACACTAATCAAAGAAGTGAAAGACCTATTCAACAAAAACTTTAAGTCTTTAAAAAAAGAAATTGAAGATACCAGACAGAAAATGGAAAGATCCCCCATGCTCTTGGATAGCTAGGATCAACATAGTAAAAACGGCAATCCTACCAAAAGCAATCTATAGATTCAATAGAATCCCAATCAAAATCCCAACATAATTCTTCACAGACCTTGAAAGAACAATAATCAACTTCATATGGAAAAACAAAACTCAGGATAGCCAAAAAAAACTGTACAATAAAGGAACCTCCTTAGACAGCACCGTCCCTGACATCAAGTTCTATTACAGAGCTACAGTAATGAAAACAGCTTGGTACTGGCATCAAAACAGAGAGGTTGACCAATGGAATTGAATCAAAGACCCGGATATTAATCCACACACCTATGAACACCTGATTTTTGATAAAGAAGCTAAACTTATGCAACGGAAAAAATAAAGTATCTTCAACAAATGATGCTGGCATAACTAACTGAATGTCAACATGTAGAAGAGTGAAAATAGATCTATATCTATCCCCATGCACAAAACTCAAGTCCAAATGGATTAAAGACCTCAGTATAAACCTGAACACACTAAACCTGATAGAAGAGAAAGTGGGAAGTAGTCTTCAATGCATGGGCATAGAAG